AAAAAAAAAAAAAAAAGCATAGATGAAGATATCTTTTTCTTTTTCAAGTTGGAGTCTCACTCTTGTCGCCCAGACTGGAGTGCAGTTGCACGCTTCTGGCCAACACAGCCTCGACCTGCTGGCTTCAGCAATCCTTCTGCCTCAGCCTTCCAAGTAGGTGGAACTCCAGGCACGTGCTACCACGCCTAGCTCGTTTTTGATTTATTGTAGAGACAAGGTCTCGCCAAGTTGCCCGGTCTGGTCTCTAACCCACGGGCTCAGGCAGTCCGCTCGCCTCGGCCTCCCAAAGTGCTGGGATGACAGGCTGAGCCACTGAGCCTGGCCAAAATGGATGATTCTTAGTAGCACTTAGTGAAAAGAATCCCCCAAGAGTATATACATGTGACAGAATTCATAAAGTCCAAAAACAATGAAAACAAATGGTCAACATGGGGTATATCGGTGTCATCTGGGCGGGGGAATGATGATGGGCCAGGGCCAACATACGGGTTAATGCAGGTTACCGTCAGTCTTGACTATTATTTGGGATGGTGGCTCCCAGGTGTGTGTAACATCAACAGAGGTTACTGAGCTAGAGAGGGCCTGGCGGAGACAGAGGACAAGAGCCTTTCACGAACCAATGACTACATTTCCTCTGATTCTGTGCTCTTAAGAGTCAGTGACGGAAACAGGAGTCAGGACTCAGCTCCACTGGGTCCCAATCCTCCCCAACATGGCCACACCCTCCTCCTCACATGCCAGTTCCATGCCTCTTCTGGTCCTGGCTCCGGTCTCCCGTCCAGATGGGGCCTCTGCTGCCCAGCCTGCACTTTGTCCCCACTCCTGCCTGCGGTGCTCTGTGCCTCCTATCGCCATGGACATGCTGCTTCCACTAAGTTGTCCCCCTATGGTCATTCCTGTGTGTCTTCCCGGCAGGGAGCTTGTCCACTGAGGCTCTGTGTCACCTGGGCAGAGTGACAGGCACTGAAGCACTGCCAGTGTCACCTCCTTCACGCTTCATGACCTCGTCTGCCTCATCTGTCTTGTCAGTCCTGACATGCTTCAGTCCCCTGTTCAAGCTGGCTCTTTTGGGGAAGGCACAGTGAGTTCTCAGCTCTGTCTCTTCTTCCTGTCCTGCCTGGACCCGTCTCCCTCCCTCTGGCCCCTTCTCCACACTGAGCGCCAGAGAGCTCTCCAAAGGGCACCTATCTTGGCAATGACAACCCCTGGGAGGTTCCTCACTGCCTTCAGGATCAACACAGACTCCAAGGTGCTTTGTGATGGCCACCATGCTCCCCCTCAGTCAGCCTGCACTGCTGTCTTGGGGCCACCAGATATGCTGTGTCAGCTGCACTCAGGTAAAGCTCTCAAAGACAGGGAAGCCCCGCAGCATGACTCAATTGCTAGAGCACGTGGTACCCAAACAGACAATCGAGCCGGCTCTGGAGTCCAGCTCCTGACCCGGGGCCTGGCACAGAGTGGGCAGCTTCTGTAGGAAGGGAATGGGGATGCTTATGTTATTTCTGTGTATTTTATGAGCATGGTCTCTTGTGACAGCTTTTGGATCGCCACTAACTTTTTTTTTTGAGTTGGAGTCTCACTATGTTGCCCACGCTGGAGTGCAGTGGAATGCTCACGGCCACCGCAGTCTCAACCTGCTGGGCTCCGGCGATCCTTCCGCCTCAGCCTTCCCAGTAGCTGGAACTCCAGGCACGTGCCACCATGCCCGGCTAGACACTAACTTTTAAAGTGTTTTGTGTCTTTTTCATCTGGTCTGTGACCTCCCCAAGCATAGTGTCTCAGAAGTCAGTGCCCTGGGCACAGACCAGACCCGAGGCCACTGCTCAGGACAGGCTGATCACCGGGGCCCATGAAACCCCACGCTGCTCCTTTGCCCCGGGAGGGCCACCAACTCACCGTGTTGAAATACTCGACGCCAGTGGCTTCAAATGCCCTTGCCACAGGCTGGGTTGTGGCCACGCAGGCCACAGGGTGGCCGTTGCCAATGGACTTGCCCATGGTGACAATGTCAGGGACAAAGTCTTCCCCCTGCAGCTGGAAGGCCCAGAAGTGCTTGCCTACTCGGCCAAAGCCAACTTGGATCTCATCTGCAACAAAGACCCCTCCGGCCCTGCGGACGTGCCTGTGGCAAAGGACAAATGGCTGACAGGGCTGTGGCCAGGGGATCAGCCCAGGGGTTGGGAGGGCTTGGGGCTCCGAGTAGTCTCGGCTCTGCCAGCAAAGAGGCGGGACCGTGGAAGGTGGCTGGCCTTCCTCAGGCCGTCACTTCTGGGCATGGTTTCAAAGTTCTGGCCAGCATGCCAGGCTGAGGCTGGGGAACCCATCGCAGCCCTGCCCCTGGGTAGCCCTGCCCTTACTCACTCTGCCACCTGGGAGAAGTAGCCAGCGGGAGGGATGATCTGCCCTCCCACGCTGGGCAGAGACTCGGCAAAGAAGGCTGCGATCTGTGGGTGAGACGGATGTCAGGGACAGCACACGGAGGCGCTGTGTGACCACTCAGCGCGCCAAGTCCTTTCCTGGTGCGGGCCCCAAGCAGGCGAGTTGCCATCAGTGCCACACCCCTTCTCTGGGTCGAGTCACATCTGAGGGTTTGTGACTCAGATTCCCTTCAGGCCTCGAATCAACCCTCACCACCTGGTGCCTCCAGAGCCCTGTACTCGGCACACCCCAAGCTCAGCTATTGGTGTCTCCCCATAAACCTGTCCCTTCCTTGTGTCCTCTCCGGTGACAAGCCCCACTCACATCCTCCAGTGTAGGACAGAAACCCATCCCCTTCCTGATCCACCCCCACCCCATCAGCGCTGTCCCTTGACTGCCTCGGCTGTCTCTGACCCCTTCCTCCCCTCTGCCTGGACGTGCCAGCCTATCAGCAGACCTGCCTGTCTCTGCCCTGGCCTTCTGTGGGTGTCTGAACCCCAGGAGCTGAGCTCACCGCCATTCTGTTTCAAACCCTCCAAGGGCCCTTGTGCAGAAAGCCACGACTTCCCAACAGTGTTCTGCGCTAGAGCTGACCAGGGACCACTGCTGGGATCAGGCAAGGGCCGAAGGAAATGCTGCACGCCAGCAGGGCTCCTCGGGTTTCCTGGGAGTGGCTGAACGGCCCTGGAGCACAGGGGCCAGGACTCGCTCGGTGCGGCCAGCACCTACAGCCCCACAGCCCGCCCTCTGCGCCACACCCCTGTCCTTCAGTGGTGCCTCCTGGAGCTGTCACCCAGCCACCCACAGGCCAGCCCCTGCTGTCGCCAAGGGCAACATCTCTCCTGCCTGCGCCCCTTCTCCCACCGCCACTAGCCTGTCCGGCCAGGCTTCCCCACCACTCACCTGGGGCCTAATGGCTCCTCGCGGCCAAGGGCCTCGGGCTGCCCCTTTCAAATCCACCCTCCACGCAGCGCTGGGCAACGGAACAGCCAGCCCCACGTCTTCAGATCCTGGGGCTCCCGGGCCTCCGTGGCTGCCCAGCACAGCCCTCGGGGCTCTGGGTCCAGGTCTTGCCTGCCCATCTCGAGCTTGTGACTCGCGTGCCTGGCCCACTCTCAGGTTGCGCCCCTGTGCAGCCCGTCTTGCGTGCCTTTCCCTCTGCTGCTTTTCACCCCGCCTGGAGCGGCTAAGCCCCGCCGCAGGTAGGTGCCTCCTCTGAGGACACTCCGCCCCCACGCCCGTCCAGCCTGGTCCTGCCGCCTAGATGCCATGCTCTCGGCCGGAACCTGAACCCCGCTGAGCACGAACTCCCCAGCCCAGACTCCCAGTGGGCAGGCCTCGTGCTGCTTTCCCCCTGGGCCCAGCATCTGCACAGTGGAGGGACACGGTGCTTCCTGGACTGGCATGTGTGGTTACCTTCCTGCCCTTCTCCTGTGCACTGCTGACCACTCGCTTCACCTCACTGGCATAGGCCAAGGCTGGGTTGGGGTGGTCCTCACGGTAGGGGCCCCGGTAGGTGTCTGGGAGAGGTGCCTGTGGGGAGGACAGTGCCATGTCATCCGGGTTTGGGGGTGGCCGTCCAGTTGGGGCTACCTTGGGCAGCACATACCACGTGGACCCACTCCTTCTGGCCATCCAGGTCACGGAACTTGTAGGGGCTGATGTCAATCAGGGAGCTCAGGTGGCCATGATAGGCACTGGGGAGGGAAAGGGAGTGTGGGCTCAGGCCCAGGCAGTGCGCACTCCCTGGCCCGGCCCTGACTGCCGCCGCCCCCCCCACCCAAAAGACACCCAGGGGAGGTCACGTTTTCTGGCACAGCCCCCTGTCCCCCAGCTGGGAGAGAGCACAGGCCTTGGAGTCAGCAATACATCCTACAAGGCTGCTCGCTGGCTGTGTGACAGTGGCTAACTGCTTAACCTCTCTGGCGTCAGCTGTCCCCTCTGTAGAATGGGGGATTTCTCTGTCAGGGTTATAACAAATCCGGGCCTGGGCCTGCACACATCAGATACTCAGGACGCAGGAGCTACTGCCAGAACTGCCTGAATAGTTAAAACAGCATGGGGCTGGGCTCCAAGGCTCAGCCTCTCATCCCAGCACTTTGGGAGGCCAAGGCCAATGAACTGCCTGAGCCTGTGGGTTGGAGACCAGACCGGGCAACTTGGTGAGACCTCGTCTCTACAAAAAACAAAACAAAATAAAAAAACAGCATGGGACCACCTTTGACTCCCGTACAAAGTGTTTTCTGCTGCCCAGAAGCTGCCCTCCCGGAACGTGGCCCGGGGACAGAGCCTCCAGGAGGCCCTCTGCCTGCCACGCAGCCTCAGGTAGCAAGCCCATCACCCTCCCTGCCCAGGGCACCTGAGCCAGAGCCCCTGGTCTACAGCAGACTGCGGGCCGGCTTCTGGAAATGGCAGGGCTGGGAGTTGCACTTACTGGTCTAACACCACCACATCCTGGTGTCCCGTGTACTGGCGAGCCAGCCTCAGGGCTAGGTCATTGGCTTCTGACCTAAGATAAAAAAAAGTGGGCTCCATTCGGATGGTCGTCTGAGAGTTGCCTGCAGAGAAGCCCGGGCAGCAGCAAGCAGCGTCTGGGACATTAGTTGCCAGATAACGGCTTACTCGTTGGTAAGTGGCAAAGGCCTCCTATGTGCACAGGCTGGGCAATCAGTAGGTGAGACGCATGGGCCTGGTCTCCCGGAACTTCCATTCTAGGTGGCACGAAAGCTGCTTGGAAAAGACTCACACACTCAAAGCTTGCTTCCCCTCTGCTCCCATAGCACAGCAACCAACAGAGATGACTCCTCCCTACCAGCAGCCAGTTTTGCAGTAGACACGACTGAGTGTCCTGGGATTCAATTTTGCCGCTACCATCAGCTCCCACATGCTGAGGGTTCAGTCCCCAAGTCCAAGCCATGCCTGGACTTTCTGACCGATCCCACAACCCTCTCTGGGTTCCATTAATTTGCTGGGGTGGCCCACGACTCAGGCAGTCGCCAGTTTATTGCACAGGAAGTCACAAAGTTTCCAGATGAAGAGATGCCTAGTGCCAGGTGTCGGGGGGCAGGGCTCCCGGGCCCTCCCTGGAAGCTGCAGGGCCCTGAGCAGCTCGGAGCTCTGACCTTTAGACAGGGAGGCTCCTGCCCCGAGGGCACAGGGCAGGGCGCTCTAGGACTGCAGGTCTTAAGACCCACAAAGGGAAGGACTGGGGACCTGCCTCAGGGCCGGGAAAGGAGGGCAGAAGGCGGCAGAGACTGTTTCCCCAAGCGTGACACACCCTATGTAGTCACAAAAGATTGCAGTGAGGGCTGTGGGAGTTACAGCATCCGCCCACCACACGCACACATACTCAGCACCACCACCAAAGCCAAGAAAGGATGCGCGGCCACCTTGGCAAGCACGACAGTGGAGCCAGAATGCTGAGGGAGAAAACCAGAGGGGCCCTACTCTAAGTGGGGGTGTTATGGGCTGGATTGTCCCCCAAAATGTGTGTGCTAAAACCCTAACGCCCAGTACTTCAGGGTTGCCTGTATACAGCTGCGCTGGGAGATGAGGCCTCAGCAGAGGTGATTACATTCAAAGGAGGTGACAGTGTCCTTGGAAGAGGAAATCTTTATAGCTACTAAAGAAACGCCTGGCGCATGTGTACGTGGGGGAGGATGCCGGGACAGCGGGGAGGGCCTCGGAGGACCCAGCCCTGTGACACCCTGCTCTTGACTTGCCCTCCGTGGAACTTTGTTCGGGCCTCCCCAGGAGGGACTTTGCACTGAGTTCTGAGGGAGAAGCTTCCAGGCAGAGGGAGCAGCCATGCAAAGGCCGGTGAAGGAAAAGGGCTCCAGTGTGCTCAGGAGCCAGAGGCCAGAGGCCAGGGCCCGAGGAAGCCAGGGCAGGAGAGGAAGTGAGGAGCCACGCGGGGCTGCACGTGGGAGAGGAGCCTGGGTTTTCTCCTCTCCAGTGTGCAAAGTGACCGAAGAGCGCCAGAGAGGGGTTGCGACTTGGCTCCCACCTTCCGTTGGGAGGCAGCCCTGGCCTTGTCTAGTGAACTAGGAGGAGTGCGAGTGGCAGAGACCTAGGAAGCCCGGGAGGCCAGACGGCCGTGGGGGACAGAGCGGCAGAGGAGGCAGGGCTGAGGTCCAGGGAAATCATGGCCTGTCCCATCAGCCCTTGACTGTCTTCTGGACATGCAAACCCAGGGATGTTGGTCAGATGTCACGTGGGCAGCTACAGTCTTGAGTCTGGAGCACATGGGAGGGAGCTGGGCTCAAAACATAAAATCAGGAGTCACCAGCACATGGATGATATTTATTACCAAGGGAATGATGACATCACGTAAGCAGAGGGCTCAGAGAAAAATGGCCCAGGACCAGCCTGAGGAAGAGAGGAGGAGGAAGTGGCAAAGGAGAGGGGTGGTGGGGGCGGGCAGAGAATCTGGCGGTCAACAGGAGAGCACAGCGACTGGCAGCGTGAGGAGAAAGCGCTTCCACTTCCTGCTGAGATGAGGAAGACCAGGGAGCAAAGAACTCATGGGATTTGGGGACATGGAAGCTGCTGGAATCCACAGAGAATACATCTGAGGACATGCACCTGCAAGAATGCCCCTTCCTCACGGAAGGTGCCCCGTACCCAGCCCGCTCCCCTGCTACGGGCGTGACTCCGGCAAGCTGGCTCCTGTCTCTCAACTGCTTGTATCTCATCTGTAAAACGAAGATAGGGGATCCCACCTCCTAGAAATTATCTGGGGGACTGGTGAGTGTGTCACGCAAAGGGCAATGACAATAACACTCATTATGGTGACCCAAATGAATCTGACTTGCTAGAATCTGCTCTGAGATCCTGGATATGCTGTGACCATTGCCTGTCTGTCCCCATGCTGCTCCTCGTGTGAGCTACCATGCTTTTCACCTGGCTATTGGCTTGGCCCTTAACAGTATTTACTCTTTTTTTTTTGAATCAGTCTCACTCTGTTGTCCAGGCTGGAGTACGGTGGCATGATCACAGCCACTGCAGCCTCGACCTGCTGAGCTCAGGCGATCCTTCTGCTTCAGCCTTCCAAGGAGCCGGAACTACAGGTGCACATCACCACGACCAGCTAATTTTTTTTGATGTATTGTAGACACAAAGTCTCACCATGTTGCCTGGGCTGGTCTCGAACCCGTGGACTCAGGCAGTCCTCTCACCCTGACCTCCCAAAATGCTGGGATTACAGACTTGAGCCACCAAGCCCGGCTAATATCCACTCTTTTCTCCCTCCGCCCACAAGACACGATGTCTGATTTATACCTTCTGACGGCTTCCCAGTGCTCTTAGGACCAGAGCAGCTTCCTTGTTTGGTCAACAGGGCCCGAGCGACGGGCCCTGGCTCCCTCTTCAGCGTCGGCTGACATCCTTTCCCTCACTAGCCTCCTCTGATCTTTGCTTGCCAGGGTGCCACGCCCTTTCCTGGGCAGGGCCTTCCATGGGCTGCTCCGTGCGGTGACCAGCCCGACGAGGGTACTTCCAATGGAGCGGCAGTGCCCTTCCTTCCTCCTCTCGGCTACCTCTAGTCAGCTCTCAGCATCGCTTCCTCCCACGAGGCTACCCTGCCCCCCAGAACAGGTCAGGCCCTCACTGTCCCCAGGCCTCGCAGGCGCTATACTCTTCCTCCAGACAATGACCCTCTCTGTAGTTTTGTGTCTCTTTGAAGAATCACTTGATATTTTCACTGCTTAACGGGCAACCTGAGGGCAGGCATTTTGGCTGCATCTGTAAGGCAGAAATAAGGGAATGGGCAACTCCTTAGGCCCCAGCAGGGATGCGGGAAGTGACAGCACCCTTGACAGGCGACAAGCAGACTGGTTCCAGCAGAAACAGCGCCAGGGCTCACACAGGGGGAGCACACACCTGGCTGGCTATGCTACGCAGGCCCACGTGAGCGACTGTCTTCTCACCTCTTGATGGGGGCTGGCCGCAGTCCACTTACCCAGAATTCAGGAAATAAAACACACAGAGCTCCTCCGGAAGGGTCTCAGACAGCCTCTGTGCATAATCCACGATGCTGTCGTGCAGGTATCGGCTGTTGGTGTTGAGCACCCGGTTCTGCTCGTGTGCGGCTTGGACCACGAGAGGGTGGCAGTGCCCAACTGGAAGAGGGCCACTTCATCACACGGTCGGCTCTGCGTGGCCATCCCACCGGGCCCCCCAACCCCAAGCTGTAAAGCCACCCCCATCCCCAGGAGGTGCGGTTACAGAGGGAGAGGTAGGAAGCAGGGAGTCCAAGGACAGAGCAGGAGATGGCCAGTTCAGGAAAGCAGCATGTCAAAGGAGAGCCTGGGGCTCCACAGAAACCCCATCTAGATAGCCCACGTTTTCTTTCTTTTGTGAGCTGAAGTCTCCCTCTGTCACCCAGGCTGGAGTGCAGTGGCATGCTCATGGCCGCCGCAGCCTCAACCTGCTGGGCTCAGGCGATCCCTCTGCCTCAGCTTTCCAAGTAGTTGGAACCACAGGGGCGTGCCACCATGCCTGGCTAATTTTTTGATTTACTGTAGAGACGAGGTCTCACCAAGCTGCCCAGGCTGGTCTTGAACCCTGGGCTCAGGCAATCCTCTCGCCTCTGCCTCCCAAAGTGTTGGGATTACAGGCTTGAGCCACTGCGCCTGGCTTGTGCTTTCAAGGCTTCTCCAGGCCTTCTGCTTGGCAAAGGCAGGGGAGAGGTATGGCTGCCAGTTGGTCTGACTCCACCAGCCAGTGGAGGCTAGAGGTAATCTTGATTGCCAAAGTCCAAGGATAACGATACCAGTGAACCTATACTGAGAGCTCAGTGTGCCAGGATGCAAACCAAGTCACGTGAACTAACACTCAGCTCTTAATTCTCCAAACGCCTTGAGGTGGGTACCTAGGATTTTTTTTTTTTTGAGTTGGAGTCTCACTCTGTCACCCAGACTGGAGTGCAGTGGCTGCTCCCGGCCACCGCAGCCTCGACCTATTGGGCTCCGGTAATCCTTCTGCCTTAGCCTTCCAAGTAGCTGGAACTACAGGGTGCGCTACCACACCTGGCTAGTTTTTTGATTTATTGTAGAGATGAGGTCTTCACCAAGTTGCCCAGGCAGGTCTCAAACCCGCGGGCTCAGGTGTCCGCTCACCTTAGACTCCCAAAGCACTGGAATTACAGGCTGAGACCCCGAGCCTGGCTGGTACCTAGGATTTTTATGTCTATTTTGCAGATGAGCAAACTGAGGCACAGAGGATTAAGTCACTTTCCCAAGATCCCAGTACGTGGAAGACAGGGACTTGAGCCCAAGCAGTCTGGGACTAGAATCCTCCCGGTAACCTCCACTTTTAAGACCTTCCCTTTCTTCCATCACGGCAGCCACCGTGGGATAACTCAATGCCCCCTTTGGCTTCCCTGTCCAGCACCTGAGACAGTCAACAGGCTGCGGCCCTGCCATGACCTGGGCTCTTGGTCAGTGCTGCGATGCGTCGTTGGTTGCTCTCTGAGCACGTCACCAGTGCCAAGTGGAGCCGGACCCCCAGACCTAGCTCTTTGACGCCTGCCTGGTTGGGCACAGCTGCGGCCTGGAGTCTTCTCTGGCCACATCACAGACGCTGGATCTCCTTTGCATACGGCTGGTGCTTCAGCTCAACCCAGGCTCTGGGCACCGCTTGGCGACCTCAGGGTCGCCTTGGAACCAGCTCCACAGCTTCAGCCTCTGTCCTGCCCCCCGGCCTGAGGTGTGATACTGACCGTGTGCCACATTGTTGATGCAGTCGATGTATTCTGCGCCCAGCTCATCATACAGGTACTGGCCCTGGCCCCGAACAATCTTCACGGGATCCTCAGGAGAAAAGAGTCGGCAGGACGAGCTGCTGGGACAGGCAAGGAGAAGCCACGTCCGAAGACCTGAGAGAGGGCCACCAGCACAGCTCCCTACCCCGTGTCAGGAAAAGACACTGACGGAAGGAAGAGGAGCCTCTCTGCCAGTCTCCCCCTCCACAGAAGGTTGTGAGGGAGAAGGCAGGGAGAAGGGAGTTGCTGAACTTAAAGCTGTTTCTTTTCGTTTTTTTTTTTTTGAGTCCGGGTCTCACTGTGTCGCCCAGGCTGGAGGGCAATGGCTTGCTCACGGCCACCGCAGCCTCGACCTGCTGGGCTCGGGCAATCCTTCTGCCTCAGCCTTCCAAGTAGCTGGAACTATGAGCCACCACACCCGGTTAATTTTTTTTTTTTTGAGCTGGAGTCTCACTCTGTCGCCCAGACTGGAGTGCGGTGGCCGCT